GGTATTGGCTTCATTTGAAAACAAGAGTGTGAGGTTAAATGGACTGATGCAGAATGGCAAGCAGGGAGGCCTCATTTGTTCATAGCATGAAATCAGCATGTAAGTTGGCTTTTATAACCACAATGTTCCTTTCTCTTCCTCCTTCTCTCTCTCTTCTGTCCTCTCCTCTCTCTCTTCCTCCCTCTCCTCTCTCTTCCTCCCTCTTCTGTTTCATGTAAAAACTGTTCTTCTCAACCATTAGGTCTCAGCCTGTGTCTTTGCTCTCAGTTCACCTCTCTTGAACTGCTGACAATTCACTTCCCTGCTTGGTTTGCACCCAGTGTTGGTGTCTTAGTTGCACAACTCACACTGCTCTTCACACGGGATCTCTCCCCATCTCCCTGAGCCAGGCTCCAATCTTCCCCACACTCCAATCTTTCCCACATTCCAATCTTCCCCACAGACACCTTGATTTTGCAACATTCCCCTGATAAATATCATCTCCTGTCTCAGACAGGAATGTCCTCCAGGCCACTCCAGGGATTGTGTCTTCCCTGTTTAGTTGCAGCCTCCCTGTGGCAGAGGGTGCCTGGTTTGGTGTCTAATACCCAGTTTGAACCCTTGGCAAGACAAATGAAGAATGGATGGGATGGGAAAGGACTGTCTGGAGCTCAGGAGGGTGGCTGGGACACTGGGCTCTGCCACTCACTCAGAGGGCATTAGTGAAGCATTAGGGAAGAGACTGGGGAAAGTCTGATGAGGAAGGCTGAGGGAACTGGAGAAGTTCAGCCTGGAGAAGAGGAGACTCAGGGGGGAACTTCTCACTCTCTACAAGTCCCTGAAGGGAGGTTGGAGTCAGGGGGGGTTGGGTTCTTCTCCAGGCAACCAGTGACAGGATGAGAGGGCCTGGCCTGAAGCTGCTCCAGGGGAGGTTTATGTTGGATATCAGGAAGCACTTCCCATGGAAAGGGTGATCAGACCTTGGAATGGGCTGCCCAGGGAAGTGGTGGAGGCACCATCCCTGGAGTGTTTAAGGAAGGCTGGAGGTGGCACTTGGTGCCATGGTCTGGAAATGTGGGGGTGTGTCAGGTCATAGGCTGGACTAGATGATCTTAAAGGTCTTTTCCAGCCTCAATAATTCTGTCATTCAGTGATTCTCAGCCATTTAGAGCTCAGGTTTTTTGGTTGGTTGGTGGTTTGGGTTTTTATTTTCCTTTCTTCTGTGTCCCTATGAGCAAAATCAATATCAATGTGCAAAGTGTGATTGCTGTAGATTGGGTCACCCTCCCAAGAGCTGCACTATTTGAATGGCAAAATCTTGCAATAAAAAAGATTCTGTGCTTTTTCTGACCAGCTGTTCTCAGGAGGAAGATGCTATCACAGTTAGTTGCCCATTAAGAAAGTGCAGATCAAAGCCCCTGTGCTTCCTTTGGTAAAAATCTATTTTTAAACTGCTTTTGATTAGTTCCCTGTGACTAATCCTATTTCCTAGTGGCAACAGAGTGGATCTCCACATGAATCTCTTAAGTAACAGGTCTCAAAACTGGGCATATATTTGGGAAATCTTCAGGCTGTAAGAAATTTTAACAAATTAGCAATAAATAGAAATATTCAAAGCAATGCTAAAATGCTTCAAATCAGTATTGCCACCTTCTCAGGAGTCCATCTGGATGATTCAAAAGGTGAGAAATAGTTGATTGTGGCTCTGTGTTCAGTGTGTTTAATAAACCATCATCTCCCTCATGTACTATTTTTTTTCCTGAGAATGTGCAGAAGAAATAAGTGTGAATATTACTATAAAAAGTAAAAATTGAGGTCAGAAATTGGATTTTTTAAATTATTATTATTATTTTTGCTGCACGTATCAAATTATTTGGCATATCACTTTCTTTTTTGGTGTTTCCTAAGATTTATTTTCAAATTAAAAGAACTTGGGGAAAAAATGGTTGGGTTTTCCCCACCCCCCCTCTGCCTTATCCCTCGTTTTGAATTATTTTGTTCAGTCCTTTCTTGCCCTTTGCAAGTCTCAGGCAAGAAATGGTTGCTCAGTTGAGTTCAGAGCTGGATTTGCCCTTGCTGCTGCACAATGTATGGGTGCTGCTTGATGGTGGGAGGGTAATTTTCCTTTTTTATCATCCTTTTTTGGGTAGGAAAACAAGTCATGGCCACGCTGAGACTGAGAGTTGGAGATGAGAAAACCAACGTGAGGAAATCTGCTCTCCAGGTAGGGGGTTTTTCACCTGTTGCCCTCTTCTCAGTGATTACCCACAAGGCCATTAAAGGAAATAATGAGGCCCTGCTCCTGTAACAAGTCACTTTGCCCACCTGTAGGTTCCTGCTATTCCTCCAGGCCTCAAGAAGGACTTGGATGCTAATTCCTGATCAGTAAATAACGCAAACATGATGATGGAAATTTTTTCTAGTACCCTTGCTGGCATTCTCTTGCTCTGTCATTTAGAAAGAGAGGCTCTTTTCAAATGTCAATTGGCATTTCAATTAAGTGACTTCCTCATAAACTGAAGCATATTGGCTGCTTAGTTTGTTCTGACCTTGTTGACAAAGAGATGAGGTTATATCCAGCCTTTTTGTGAGGCGTGTGGTGCTTTGCTGGCTGCTCAGTGTCTTTAATGAAGTCATTAGCTTTGAAAGGGAGATGCTTCAGTGATAAAAATCACAGAATGAGTTGGGTTGGAAGGGAGCTTGAAGAGTATCAGGTTCCAACCCCCTGCATGGGCAGGGACACCTCCCAACAGCCCAGGCTGCTCCAAGCCCCATCCAACCTGCCCTTCAACACTGCCAGGGATGGGGCAGCCACAGCTTCTCTGGGCAACCTGGGCCAGGCTCTCACCACCCTCACACTCCACAATTCCCTCCTCATCTCTCACCTCAAGCTCCTCCTTCCAGTTTTCATCCCTCCCCCCCTGTCCTCTCCCTCCCTGCCCAGGTAAAATATGGGGCTCATGTAAGAGACCTGTTATTTTCAAGGGGAAATGGTGACATTCACTCCATCCAAATGCTGTTATAAAACTGGAATGACTGAAAAGGTGGTTTCAGTCTCATTCCACATCTCTGGTTGTGCCCAAAACTCATCAATAGTTCACGTGATGTTTCCCTCCCAGTCAGATAAATGAACCTCTAGTTAAAGCTGGTAGGGGGTGGGTTGTAGTTTTGCTTTGCTGCCCAATGCCTGTATCCCCAGCAAAGCTCTTTCTTGCCAGGTTTTCATGAACATCCTGAAGCACAGAGTGATTCCTTGTACTGCAGAAGATCTGTCCACCCTCCAGGATCGCTGCCGGGACCCTGCTGTGTCTGTGAGGAAACAAGCCCTGCAGTCTGTCACTGAGCTCCTCCTGGTGAGAAAACAGCCCATCCCACCTCCCACCCACCTCAGCTGGGCCAACTGAGGGTTAAAAGGAGGAGGAGACAAACCAAACAAACCCAATCTGGTGCATTACTCAGCCACTTTCACTTTGTGTTTGAATTTTCTGGTGTTTGAATTTTCTTGCTACCTTTGGACTTGGAAGTGGTGACTCATTCTCCCATGGACTTGTGATTCCTGTAGGATGCTTCCAACTGTTGGAAGCCTTTCTTGTCATGACTGGTGATTTGTGTGTCATGGAGAAAATGTTGATGTTGCTGGCCTTCTCAAGTTACAAGAAACCTGAATCACTTTGCTGAGATGTAATGTGTACATGATAGCACTGCAATATTTTTCCTCCTTTTCTATTTATTCAGAGGGGATTAGTAACTCAGGCTGGGAGCACTGGGTTTATATTAAGCAAAGATTTTTTTTTTCTTACTGTTAAATCATCTAGCTTTGTTGGGGATATAGTTAGAATTATGTAGAGGGTTTCAGAACAAAGTGTAACAAGTCTTGAGCAGAAGCACCAGGTAGATTAATCATAGATATGATCAAATACCTCGTGGTATCAAGGAGATACAAGTTTCCTTGTCCCACATTCTGCCTCGAGTTGCTGGGGTTTATTATTTCAAAGTTAGTAGCTGAATCTAGAGACTTTTAGGCCTTTTTTGCTGGTCTTACCTATGCCTATAGAATCCTGTAGTGATTTTAAAAATGTGTCTAATACCACCTGTGTTTCTCCCAGTCTCAGCAGGAGAATGTTCTGGTGCAGAAGGCCTGGTTAAATGGAGTGGTGCCTGTTGTGATGGACACTGAAAGCTCCGTGCAGGAAAAGGCCTTGGATTACCTTGATCAGCTCTTGCTGCAGCCTATAAAACATTACAGTACATTCAGGGCTGAGGATGGGAAGCAGGCTCTGGCATGGGATCTCCTCACCCTCTTGACTTCAGAAAGCCAGGAGCTGAAGTAAGTGCATTTTTCCCTTCCTGAGGGGCTCTGCTGGCTCTTCCCTAACAGCCCTTTGACCCACGTGTTGGGTGTTATTGTTGCCATCATATATTAGAATGCAGGGACAAAATCCAGGGTTGTTTTTTTTTTAATTTTATTTTGATCCTGTTAGAGTATAAAACTTTTGCTTTATAGAAGGGAATTACCTGTTGACTGGAGGACTAAGATAAGGCTATGAGTTTATACTCTCTTTTTCAGAGTGTGGCCACACTAGGTATCAAAGTCTGCACCTGGTTGACATGCACGTGCTGCCTGTTGTGCAAGGAAAAGAAACAAAATGTATAGGTTTGGGGTTTGTTGTTTTTTCAGCTCTTTATATTTCCTGCTTGGAACAGTCAGTGTAAGTGCATGTGTGGGCAAGGGAGGTGATTCTCCCCTTCTGTTCTTCTGAGATCCCACCTGAAATACTGTGTCCAGCTCTGGAGCCCTCAGCACAGGAGAGACATGGAGCTGTTGGAGAGGGTCCAGAGGAGGCCACAAGATGATCCAAGAGCTGGAGCAGCTCTGCTCTGGAGCCAGGCTGGGAGAGTTGGGGTGTTCAGCCTGGAGAAGAGAAGGCTCCAGGGAGACCTTAGAGCAGCTTCCAGTGCCTGAAGGGGCTCCAGGAAAGCTGGGGAGGGGCTTGGGACAAGGGCAGGGAGGGAGAGGACAAGGGGGAAGGGATGAAAACTGGAAGAGGGAGATTGAGGTGAGACATGAGGAGGGAATTGTGGAGTGTGAGGGTGGTGAGAGCCTGGCCCAGGTTGCCCAGGGAAGCTGTGGCTGCCCCATCCCTGGCAGTGTTGAAGGGCAGGTTGGATGGGGCTTGGAGCAGCCTGGGCTGGTGGGAGGTGTCCCTGCCCATGCAGGGGGTGGGACTGGGTGATCTTGAAGGGCCCTTCCAACCCAAACCATTCTATGATTTTATGTTACTGCTGGAGATGGAAACTCTCATGTTGTGAGGAGCTTGTTTTGCTCTGCCAGTTCCTGGATCAGAGGAGCTGTAGAGCATGGACAAGCTGGCAGCTGATGAGAAGATACAATCCTTTGTATCAAGGATTTTCACTTGCTCTTCTTGTTACCTGTGCTCTCTCCCTGAAGACTTCAGTGTTCATATCCAGGAGGGTTGCATGCTGGTCTTGATGTGTTGATAGGATGTGTTGAGAGAAGCATGAATATTTAAGTCAAATGGAGGTGTTCTGATGACAGAAGTAAGAGAGGATATATAAAGAGGGGAGAACATTGCCTTTTATTAATTCTGATGTACAATATGGTTCTTTTCTCATGACAAATAGGATTATTCTGCCTTTTGCAGAATGCTGTGGGAAGAAGCAGAAGAAATGGGATGACACACAGTATGACAAGGACACAACATTGATTAAAGACAGCTGCATGTTTATTAGTCAACAGGGCATATCAGAAATAGCAAATGAGACACTGGTTGTGAGCTTTGCCAATCTGTGAAACTGTCACTTGTTCTAATTTGGGCTATTTTAGAACATAGTTTGCAGATTCATGGCACCTTCTCCTTCATGACCTTAGAATATCTTAGAGCTTGATAAATCTGAGAACTTTTTCAAGGTCAAGTAGATAACTAGGATTAAACAGAAAAATGAGCAGGTTACAGCATCTTAACATCACTGTCTCCTGTCCCATTATGGGTGTTAAATAGCAGCTACTGGGAAGTCTTTGTCACAGGTTGCTGAAATGATCTTTTCTTGGTGGGCCCTGGTGCCAGTTGGACCTTCTGTCTCACAGCACTGCATCCATGCTTGGAGGCCAGGCCTGTTGTGCCTCACCATTATCAAAGGGAAGTCTAAAAATACTGCTAAAATATATAGTAGAAATCCTGACGTGTGCTGAGCACTGGGAATGCTGAGCCATAGCAGCTTTGTTGTGTTGCCCAGTGTATCCTGGACAGGGATGTTGGATTTTACTGCCAGTGTCTTAAGACCAAGGGTTTTGTTTACTCCTTCTTTAACTTGCTTTTCTTTTTGTTCTTCCTTGTAGTCGTTACATGAACAAAGCTTTTCACATCTGGTCCAGGAAGGATAAGTTCACCTCCATCTTCATCAGCCATGTCATGTCCCATGTGGATACAGAACATGCTGTCCCAGCTTGGATGTTGCTTGCTAAGGTGGCAGGTTCTTCACCCAAGCTGGATTATTCCAAGATCATTGAATCCTGGGACAATGTCAGCAGGTATCTGTCTGCTTTGAACACCATCCTCCATTGCAGTCCAGAAACCAGCTACATCCTGGGCTGCATCAAAAGAGACATGGCCAGCAGGTCAAGGGAGAGGGTTCTGCCCCTTTACTTGGCTCTCATGAGACCCCACCTGGAATTCTGTGTCCAGTTCTACAGCCCCCAACACAGGAAGGGCATGGAGCTCCTGGAAAGAGTCCAGAGGAGGCCACAAATATGGTCCCAGGGCTGGAGCAGCTCTGTTCTGGAGCCAGGCTGGGAGAGTTGGGGTGTTCAACCTGGAGAAGAGAAGGCTCCAGGGAGATCTTAGAGCAGCTTCCAGTGCCTAAAGGGGCTCCAGGAAAGCTGGGGAGGGACTTGGGACAAGGGCTTTTAAGGATAGGATAAGGGGGAATGGTTTCAAACTGGAAGAGGGAGGTTGAGGTGAGACATGAGGAGGAAATTCTGGAGTGGATGGGGCTTGGAGCAACCTGGGCTGGTGGGAGGTGTCCCTGCCCATGCAGGGGGGTTGGAACGTGATGATCTTTCAGGTCCCTTCCAACCCAAACCAGTCTGTGATTCTGTGAATTCTGCAGTGAAGAGGTGGGAGTGAAGAAGAGGACCAAAGCCAGGGAGCACTTTGTCCTTCCACAGGCAGGGTGCCATGTAGCTGCTTAGATCAGAGTTCTTTATTCAAGCAATTATTCAAAGAAACTAGGAGGCAAGTAGTGGCCTGCAGATCTGTGCAGAAACCAACTCTTAGCTTAAGCTTTTTCAGTTTTCATTTGGCTTGACAGGTCTGCCTTAATAATTCATATCCCAGATTAAAGGACTTTCCTACTGTGATTTGATGTCATTCCTTAGTGTTAGTGTCAGTTTGTCTGCTCTGCTCTTTTTCAGGCAGCAGAACATGAGCACTGATACTACTGGACATGTACTCTGTGTCATTGGTCATGTTGCAAAGCACCTCCCTAAAAGAACCTGTGACATGCTGATTGGTGAGTGAGTGGCCCTGAGAAACTGCAGAGGGGGAGGCAGGTTCATACCTTCCATCTTCACACTCATTTCTTCTCCATAAGCAGCTGAGAAGCTTAGAAAATGCTCATTTTAAGGGTGTGATCTCCTTTTCAGACAATATCAAGTGCTGGCTGAGGGAGTCCCAGTGTCCCCTGGAGGTGATTAGCCCAGCTGTAGAAGCTCTGCAGAAGCTCTGCCATGCACATGCAGATGTGCCAGAGGATGCACAGGTGTGACTTTAAAATATATCTTTTAAAATAGCTTGTTTCATACTTAGGAGGTCTGTTTCTTGGAGGCAGCTTCAGTCTGTTGGTTGATGAGCTCACTAAACAAAGAGGAACTAACTCCAGCAGCAGCTTGAGTCTGTTCTACCTTCAGGACTTTCAGTTTAGGCATTTAGGTGTGGACAGATATTACAGCTACATTGTGTTCAATTAAAAATTTGCCAAATGAATTTTGTTTAATTATGCAACAGGGGCTGCTTAACCAGGTGTGTGGAGATCTAGTGTCCACCTGTGAAAGCTACATCTCAAATATAGTCCTCAGAGAGGATGGAGCAGAGCAGCTGCAAGAAGACCTCTTGGTAAGTTTGGTTCCTCTTCACAGACTGGTCAAAGGATGTAGGTGTACTTGGAATTTGAGTTCCTTAAATTTCACACCCAAAACTGACTTAAGTAGGAAAACACTGATATGCAAACCTGTGTGTAAGCTCAAAGAAACCTGGAATTGAAGTGCCTGGGAGCAAAGAAGAGTTCTGGACATCAGCAGTTGCTTTAAGGATATGATACACAAAGTATTTTTAATGACATTTTTTTTTGTTTGCCTTTCCCTTCATGCTTCTTAGATCAACTGTTTGTACAGGTTTTACAGACTTATTTCCCAATGTTTTGAGGAATATCTCAATATTATTAGTAGATGTGGGAGGGTTCTGGTGTATTAAACACATGATTTCTCTTTCAAAGCTTCACCCTCTGTTCTCTGGCCACTGTCTTCTTTGAAAGGACTGAGGGAATTTGAAGTTCCTTTTGGAGAAGCACCAAACTGGTTTCTGCTGATTTAATTTGCAACTCAGTTCTTGACTGCAGTTGGTTTTTCTCTGCAGGTGAGACACCTCTTCATCCTGGGGGAGGCTGCACAGCTCTGTCCAGCCAAAGTGGAGAAACGTGTCTTCCTTTTGATTCAGTCCATCCTGGCTTCTCCTGCCAACCAGGACCAACGTGAGCCTCTCTCCTTACTGCCTTTAATCCTGAATTCACAGACAACACCATTGACTGGAAAAGCCTGTTTTCATTCCTGACCTTTTCTATCCCAGTGTCTAGTTCCCCAGATGGTGAGGAAATTCCAGCTTCTCAGCCCCTGTCCCAGTTCCGAGGATCAGCCATGCCCCCCGTGGTCAGAGCTCATGCCTTCATTACTCTAGGTGAGTGCCATCCTGGGCCCTTTCCTGTGTCCATTTCCCACCCTTTCTGGCTGAAGTTCTCAAGGGCTGTTTCCACTTGTTACTGGGTACCCACAGTGCCCAGTGTTTGCACTGCCTCAGCTCACAGCTTTTATCAGTGCAAATATCCATGGCAACAAGGTGCACAAACCACCAAAATGCTGCTCCTCAAGGTGGTTAATGCATTAATGGTGATTAATGATTAGCAAAGTCCTTCAGAATTGTCCAGCCCTTGTGCTCAGAGCTGGTTTCTATCTGGCTGAAGAGATGTATTGAGGTGCTCAGCAGAGGATGAAGAACACTTGGTGCTTTTGGTGCAGTTCAGGGCAGAATGGCTGCACGTAGGTACTTGTTCTCCTCAGCCTGGATGAAGAGCTGCTTTGAGAGAAGCCTGGTCAAGCCTCCTCCTCCAGTGCTATGGAGAGTACCACAAGTTCTCCTTGTCTAGTACCTCTGTGGTTAGGAACAAGTCTCTTCTCTTGCATATAGGCAGCATTAATCTTTCCCTCCCTGCTTTGGGAAGCTTTATACTTTGGTACAGAGTTTGGAAAGAAGTTAGGGACAAGTCATGTTAGAATGCAGGCTATTTTAATTTCAGTTGGTTCAGTGATGCTTCTAGAGGTGGGTGTCTCCCTGCTCTGCCTGTGACAGCTGTTCTGGGGCTGTTCTTTTTAGCTGCTGTGAATAATACCCTGTACACAGAAATAGTTTGCTGTGAAGGAGGGAATTTGGCATAGAGAGCCACACTATAGGTCTAAGAGGAGTTTGGAAGGGCTCCTTGAAGTATCATTTCTTGGAGAGATGGTGCAGGTTGCTCATCAAGTTTCAGCAGGTGCTTCTTGTTTATTCCCCCCCGGTTACTTTCTGGTTCCTTTCTCGGCCCAGAGGGCAGGAGAAATACATTCCCAGCCCTGCCCATCTCACCCCTGTTTCCCAGGCAAACTGTGTTTACAGAATGAGGACCTGGCAAAGAAGTGCATTGCAGCTCTGGCCCGGGAGCTGGAGGTGTCACACGAGGTGGCCGTTCGCAACAACGTGGTGATCGTGCTGTGCGACCTGTGCGTGCGCTACACCTCCCTGGTGGACAGCTACATCCCCAACATCTCCCTCTGCCTCAAGGACCCACACCCCTTCATCCGAAAGCAGACCCTGATACTCCTCACCAACCTGCTGCAGGTAAAGAGGTCCTAGGTGTGCCTCTGATCAGGTACCTCTGCTGGGCTGAGTCCAGGCAGCCTGGCCGGGGAGGGTGTTGCTTGTGCCTTGATGAATCTACACGTCATCAAGAAGACTTGTTAACAGGGTTTTTTTGCTATGTAGACAGAAATCATATTGAGGACACTTAACACAGTTGGATAATGAGATTTTTCAGAGAAGAGGAGGCTCTGGGGAGACCTCATAGAGGTCTTCCAGTGCCTGAAGGGGCTCCAGGAAAGCTGGGGAGGGGCTTGGGACAAGGGCAGGGAGGGAGAGGACAAGGGGGAATGGAAGAAAACTGGAAAAGGGAGATTGAGGTGAGACATGAGGAGGGAATTGTGGAGTGTGAGGGTGGTGAGAGCCTGGCCCAGGTTGCCCAGGGAAGCTGTGGCTGCCCCATCCCTGGCAGCGTTGAAGGGCAGGTTGGATGGGGCTTGGAGCAGCCTGGGCTGGTGGGAGGTGTCCCTGCCCATGCAGGGGGTTGGACCTAGATGATCTTGAAGGTCCCTTCCCACCCAAATCATTCTATGATTCTATGATTTTTAGTCAATGGTTACCTCTTCTGTTTTCTTCTCTTTGTTTCTTTGAACTCCCACTTCACTCCAGTCTGGATGAATACAACAAGCATCACAGCACCTTTTGCTCCTGCTGTCTCTGCTTATTGTTCTGAAAGCATAAACACTGAGAGGCTGAAGATGTTTACCCTCACAATGTTCATATGAAGCCAACCAAGGCAAATTTAGAGTGCATTTGGCTCTGAGAACAGTGCTGAAGGGCGTGTGTGCCTTGGCAGAACTAATTTTTCATGGTTCTACTTTTTTATTGGTAACTGTGGTAAACCTGAGTGCTTGCTGGTTAGTGCTGTTTAAAGCTTCCTCCAGAATATTCTCTCCTGGGGGTTTATTTCATCTACCTCCAGCTGAAGTTGTCTAGCTTGATCATATATTTAATGTACATTCTGTTGGGCTCCATCAGGTGTTGCCTTGGCTACAGTCTGAATGTTCACACTGGGTTTTTTCCTGGGTCAGTTTGATGATTTCTGGTCTGCCAATTTCTTTCAGGAAGAGTTTGTGAAATGGAAGGACTGTCTCTTCTTCCGTTTCGTCAGTGTCCTGGTGGATCCAAATCCAGACATTGCCAGGTAAAATCATGAAGGAGCTGAAGATCAGAGATCTGCTGCAAACCAGTCTTTGTCTTGCATGTGAATAAAAGCTTCAGTGAGAGAGCAGATGATTATCCCATTATTAACCTCCTAATTTCTAGAGTTGTTCACACTTTAGAGTCTGCAATGGCAGCAGAGGAGGGATGAGCCTCTTTCCAGCTCACATGAAGGTCCCAAAGTAGCAAGCTGTGTGTTCTTGGCTGGCTTCAAAACCAGCAGCTCTGCTCCATTTTTGACTCTGAGGTATCTAGGAAAAAAAGGAACTTTTGAAACAAGCCTTTACAAAATCTTCCTTGTGGTTTTCTAACAGACTCTGTCTTGAGTGCTGGTTTGGTTTCAGGAATAGGATGAAATATTATCTTTTCTTATATGACATGTCTTGTCTTTTTAAGCCTTCTGCTACTTTTGAAATGCCTTGACCTGCAAGAGGAATTGTGCACACTGGCTTCAGGTGCATGTTTATGAAGGTTTGGTAGGTTTCAAAGCCTTGAGCTGCTCAGTTATGTCAGACATGAGTGGGGCAGATTGATGGTAGGTGGTGCAGAGGAGGCTTGGACACCTTGGTATTTGCATCTACCTGAAACAGTCTGGTTTTTTTGCAGAGTCATCAACCTATCATTGCATCCCAGTGCACAGTCACCCTTGCTTTTCTCTGCAGTGAGTTTTTAATATGTAAAAATGTCATTCCAGTAGATGGTGACATTGCAACACCATGTTCCTGCAGCTTTAGCTAAAGGCTTTTTGGGAGCTTTTTCCTCTGCATCTGCATTCAGTGTCTGCATCCAGACAAAACCACGTTCTTCAAGTCTGGGATTGACTTGTAGCTTTTGCAGGACTTTTGGTGATTAACTGTTTTCAAAGTACTGTAAAGACCCTGAGCCACAATGGAATTTAAGTTATTTGAATAATGAAATTGTCGTGCCTGGATTCAAGTTCAAATTTATTTCCCTCTCTGTTTACTGTCATGGTAAAAAAATGAAGTAGTACTTGGGGATGCTGAAAACATTTCTCTCTTTCTGGATGAAAAAAGGCTTAAAAGTGAATAAGATGATATCCTTGTTCAAGCCTAGATGGAGCTGGGCAGGAATTAAATGTGGTTTTGAGGGAGACTTGGCGGAGGAAAACAATCCTCCTGCTCTACAGCTTGTAAACCCTGCACTGTCTTTCAGTGGTGGCTTTTAGAAGCTACCTGATGATAAATCCTTTCTTTTCCTCCTTTCCAGGTTTGGAGAGTTCTGCCTGGTGCACCTCTTGCTGAAGAGGAATCCAGTCATGTTCTCCCAACACTTCATCGAGTGCATCTTCCATTTCAATAGTTATGAGAAGCATGAGAAGTACAACAAGTTTCCCCAGAGCGCGCGGTCAGTTGAGCACATTTGTATCTCCTTCCTGCTCAGGGCTGGGCTGTCAGGGCAGGCAGCTTTTGGTGACAGCAAAGTGCTCATAGAATGGTTTGGGTTGGAAGGGACCTTCAAGATCATCTAGATCCAACCCCCTGCATGGGCAGGGACACCTCCCAGCAGCCCAGGCTGCTCCAAGCCCCATCCAACCTGCCCTTCAACACTGCCAGGGATGGGGCAGCCACAGCTTCCCTGGGCAACCTGGGCCAGGCTCTCACCACCTTCACACTCCACAATTCCCTCCTCATCTCTCACCTCAATCTCCCCTCTTCCAGTTTTAATCCATTCCCTCTTGTCCTCTCACTTCAAGCCCTTGAACACTTTATAATTCTCTATGCAGAAGGGGGGAAGCAGCAAGGGGAAAGAGGGTTAAATTAAGAGTGTCCTGCTTTCCCTGTGACAATTCTTTGAGGACTTCTGCATGTAATTTGTGGGAGTGTGTGGTCTTGAAAGTGACATTCTAGTCTGCCTTCCTGATTTAAAGTCTTATTATTTCTGTGAGTTGGCATAATGTGACTTGGCCCTTGTGAAATGTCTTGCTCTGCCACAGGGCGAAGAACCTCTTCTCTCTGAAGGGGAAAGATAACAAAGACAAAAGGATGCATATCTACAAGTTCCTGCTAGACCACTTCACAGATGAGCAGAGGTTCAACATTACAACAAAGATCAGCCACAGCATCCTAGGTAAGGGTCAATTTTTAAAAGTCTGGCAGAGAAGAACTGATGTCTGTATGAAGCCACCAGGCTCTCAATCCACCCCGTTACCTTCCTGCTTTTACTGGCCCTGCTAAAATACCTCTTCCTTCTTCCCCGTGTGTTCCAGCTTGCTTTGTGGATAAGATCCTTCCACTGGACTCAGAAGCCAATGAGCTGCTCTCAGATACATTTGCAGTCCTTATCTGCAAAGAAATCAAGCTGTCAACCATGAGATCAAAACCTGAAGAAGACCTTCAGCCCGATGAAGATGAAATGGCAATGGCCAATGCTGTCATGCAGGCAGCACAAAAACAGCTCATCTCACAGGTGAAGATCTGGTGTGGCCACCACTCTAGAAGGAATTTTACCTTCCTGGGAAGGAGAAACGTGGTGAAAAATGATCCACGTAACCCAGCAGTGCCCATGAGGTGCTGAGCCTGTTCCTCAGGCTCTGTCTGTAGGCCCATGCTGATCTGGGGCCACCTGTGGAAGCACTGGGTGTTGGAAAAACAAACCACCCAGGCTGCATCTGTGAAGGGTGGTTATCATTGAGGGGGCAGTTGGAGGGATCAGAAATGCAGTCAGTGAAGCTCTGCTGAGCTCAGGTTGTTCCACAGATCTCTTGGTGGTGAAACATTTGAGTGTGAGGATGGGGTGGGTTTTTTTTTTGGTGCACCTTTTGGCAATTTGCCTTCAGTGTGAGAACTGCTTGAATTGGTGATGAATCTTAAAAGGTTCCACTTAGGCTGAGAGCTTGTGTCCATGTGTGGTGTAAAAGCAGGCTTAGTTGTGGTAATTCCCTTGCTGTGTAGTGATAACTCCTCTCACATAGGCCGTTCATCCAGCCACAGGATGACTTCTCCTTTATTGCATCATGTAACTGTTCATGCCTTGTCCTAAAAAAGGTTCAAAAGAAGAACTTTGTAGAAAATATCATCCCAATAATCTCCTCACTGAAGTCTTTAATGGAGCAGAAGAGGATGCCAGCTCTGAGGGACCTTATGAACTACCTGCGGGTAAGGGGGAGTGTTTTCTGGTTGGGTTGTGTTTTTTCCACTCTTGAGTGAAGGTGTTAAATGTGCAATCCTTAATGGAACCAGCAGCCTTCTTAGAAGGAATTTTAGGTGGCATATGATGTTGTGACACTGCCACTGTGTTAAATAATGTGGGAAGTGGAGGGATTTTAGATTAGGATCTCAGTGTGAGCCTCCTGAGTGGAACGTGGGCAGAAAGCCTGGAGGCTGGAAAGCTTTTCCATGTTCTGAAGAACAAATTGGAATCTCAACTCTGAAGTCTGTGAAAAACACCTCTGCTCTACCAACTGGTATTTCCTTTTGCACATGGGCAGCTGTGAGCTGAATGGAGACCATGAATCAGTAGTCAGGGGAGATTTCTGAAAGACTTCTAAACGTTCCTTGTTGCTTCAGGAAATGATGCAAGATTATCGAAATGAAATCAAAGACTTCTTTGGTGTGGACAAGCAGCTGGCAGCTGAGCTGGAGTATGATATGAAGAAATATGAAGAGCAGCTGGCCAGGGAGAAGGAGTCAGACCAGGAGCAGTTCTCAGGAGCACAGGCAGAGGTAGGTGGTGCCATTAACTCCGTATACACACACTGTTTCCTCTGCTGAAGTTTGGGTACAGAGAACACCCAGATTCTGAGTGTGGGGGCCTTGCTACAGCACTTCTGGCAGGAAGGTGATGTGATGTTCTCACACCTCTCCATATCTGCAGGCAGAAACTTTGGTTTCATGGTCATTGAATAGGTGTAAAATGACAATAAGCAATACACATTAGCCAAAGAGTAGCAGCAAGCAATTAACCTGAAAAGAATTAATTTTAAAGGGAAAACCAAGTCTAATTTGCTACTGGCTGTGCTTACATGGTGCATTGCTCTCTGTTCCCAGAGTGAAAAGATGATAAACAGGTCCAAAAGAGAAGGCTTCACTTTGCCTGCCTTCAGGTGTATAGAGTGGGGGCTTGCATCTGTTCTAGCCATGCAGCTCCTCTCTTCAAGTCAGTATAAAGAAGGAAGTACCTGCTTGGGTCAACTGTCCTGAACTATTTTATATGCCTACCTTAAGCTGAGCTGACTTCTACCCTGGAAGTACCTTTTGCTGACTTCAAAAGAGCACCTATATATAGACCTCTAAACTAGGACATATATATCCCATCAAAACTTCCCTTCTTGTTAAAATTTTGGCCAAGCCATTCTTTCTCTAGCACCCTTTGACATCTACCACACAAAGGGCAGATCTTCATCTCACAGAAGGGAGGTTTAAGCCTCTTACATCCTGGGTTTTCTACACTTGCATCCATTGTTAGACACATGATCTTTTCTCCTGTTTTCTGTAGCAACATCCATCTTCAGAGACAGCTGTACCTCCTGGTGGCTGGAATAACAATCCTCAGTCTCCTGTGAGAGGGAGACAGTTCTCACCACCTGGATCAAGCCCTTCCTCTGTGCCTTCTGAGTTTGCTACACCCAATGCTGATGTTCTCAAACAGCCATTGCTCCGTCGCAGGTTTGGCTTCCTGTTTACCTTGCCAGTTATGATGTTCCACAGGGCTATTCCCTTCCTTACTTAGTGGTAGGAAAGTCACCACTGCTTCAGTGTGATCTTCTCCATCACATTTGGTGTTCAGGCTCATAAAGGATTGGAAGGGGAAAGGTCTCCTTGTTACACACACCTCACCTGGGCTTGGGGTCCATCACATCCCTGTTCATGTCACGTTTTGCCCTGCAGGCCAGCATCCTTGAGCACACTTGCCATCCTGAACTCTGCCAGGAAAGCAATGGAAGCCAGAAACAAGCATCACAGGAAGACTGTTGGAGGGAGTTTATCAGCTGAATCACTTCCCTTCAGTGCAGCCAGCAGCAAGCAAGGTAGGAAGCTTCCTGCAAACTGGTCTGGCATTGGACTGGATCTGGTTGACACAGCCTGATTGTTAAACACTTGAGGTCACCGAGTGAATACATTTCTATTCTTAATTATTTCCTTGTTGTTTCTAGTATCCTTTCAAAGCCTGAATCAACAGTCTAGTGGAGAGAAGGTTCCTATGGTGGGCCGTGCAATCAGCACACCAGAACGTAAGTATAACCCAAAGGAACCCTTTCCAAACTGGGCTGAGTGCTCATTCTCTGAGAGAGGTAGCAATGCAAGGCTCCTCAAAAGAGCAGAAAAGTTTAGTCACTGATAGCTAGAAATTATTTCTTTATCTCAATGATTGTAGTAAGTAAGAACTTCTTGAAAGTAAAGGTGAATGATGCACGTAGGAAAGGACAGTCCAATATGGTCTCTGTTTACATGTCACAGGGTACTACAGAATGGAGTCAGTGCAGGAGAGCTTTTATTTTGGGCTGCTGAAGTAATAGAGCTACTGCCCTTTCTGCCTTCAGCAGCATTGGGTGCTGAGGAGGCATGTTCTCATGGTCCCTCAAGAGCATGTGTTGCCCCACGTGTGCAAGTCCTGTTGCAATGAGACACGTGCCCTTCTGCACTTGGGAGCCACAGCTTAGCATTTTCAGGCTGATTTACAGAGCTCTGCTTTAGAGGAAAATCCTCAAGGTCTGGTCCCTTTCAGCTATAAGGTAGGGGGTTCCTGTTGCCCAAACAAAGGATCCCAGGTGAGCTACAACAGGCTTCTGGAGCAGGCAGTGAGCTGGCACAATTGCAAGAGAACACAGATCTGCTTGAGTGGGATTAATGACCTTCAGTCATTTCTAAGTGTGTGTGTGTTCTACCCTAAGAAAGGACTGAACTCAGCACTGAGAAGGGATTATTTGGAGTTTTTTTTTCACTCTGCTGTGGAATGGAGGAATGTCTAATACACAAAATTGAGAGTCTGCTGTGCTTATGGCCACGGCAGCTGAACTGCCATCTCCCCAGAGCTGACCTTCAGGAGCTCAGTTTCACTGGGATCTGTTCTGACAGCCCTGCCGTGTCCTGCCCGGGTGCTTTCTGCAAGAAGCAGCTACAGTAAAACAAATGGAGCTGAGCTCCAGCAGTAAATTCCCTTCCTTTATGTCAGTTCACTGCTGAACCCCTGCAGGGCAGCTCTGCTGCAGTGGGAATGGTGTGATGAACACCCTGATGGGCTCTGGAGGGAGCTCCAGGGAGGCTGGGGGTGCAGGTCTCTGACAGGTCACTTCTCAAGAGACAGTTGTCAGCCATTGTGGGGAGGGGTCCGTGGTCCAGAAGCAGAGTGATCTGCCCAGGCTGTGTCTCACAAACACCTGACCTGCAGACACTCAGGACAGCAAACAACATGCAGCCTGTGTGGCAGTTTGCAGATACCTGACATCCCTGAGCAGGCAGGAGCAAAGCAGAGGCACTGATGTGCAACCACTGGAAAATCTGACCCTCCTTTTCCCTCTGTGTTCCACTGCTTGGTTAGATTTGTCTGCCTCAGTGTTTCTCTTTGCTGCCTGAGCAACAAGGAATGATCTTTGTGCAAAACAAATAAAAATGGGGGCACGTTTTTAGGAGAAGGAATCTTTAGGTGCTACATCTCTGTCTAGGAGCTTGCAGGGCTGTTTCTTTTAAGCACCATATGTTGGAAAAGAAGGAAGAGCCTTAACCTGCAGTGGTGCTAGGGCTGAATTCCTGCTTTGCTTCAAGGCAGCACGTGCCCTTTAGCAGGGAGACAAACTGTACAGAGCAGTCTCAGCACTTCAGTGAGTGTGTGTTGAGCCATCTGCGTGGGGGCACTGGGTCTTGCAGGCTGAGAGACAATCAAAATACAGCATTTTTATTTCTCTGGTAAATCATTCTAAACCCACTGGAGAGGCAGTTCTTTGCAAACCAATTTGTACTTGAGAAGTTCAGAACAGCTGTCTGTTCTCTTTAGCTTACTTGACTGTTCTGGCTTACTTGACTGTCACTCTCTCCCCTGCTGTCTTTGTGTCTCCTGCTCAACTCCTGCTCATTAGTTTGAGAAGGACTAAGTGGTAACATTTTAAAACTGGAAGAGGGGAGATTGAGGTGAGAGATGAGGAGGGAATTGTGGAGTGTGAGGGTGGTGAGAGCCTGGCCCAGGTTGCCCAGGGAAGCTGTGGCTGCCCCATCCCTGGCAGTGTTGAAGGGCAGGTTGGATGGGGCTTGGAGCAACCTGGGCTGGTGGGAGGTGTCCCTGCCCATGCAGGGGGTTGGGACTGGATGATCTGGAAGGTCCCCTCCAACCTGAACCATTCCATGATAAGTGTGGATTGCCTCACTGTGGTACATAAACACACATGAAGATAGCACCTCTGATTGCAGGGGAAGCCCTCCTTGGTGCCATTTCCTTCCTTTCACAGAAATGTCTCATTAACCAAGGTAACTTGAGGCACACACTGCACAAAGTCAGGACACTTGCAGGTCAGTCTTGAGAGAGGCAGAGGCCAACTAAGGCAGACAGATCAAGTTGGATTTCCACTACAGGCTGCAGTGATTCCCTTCTAGGACAGAGAAGAAATGAAAGAGCAAACCCATTTTGTCTGTAGAGAGAGCTCGTTTTAGCAGAGTTTCCAACTCTGCCCTATAAAGCTCTTTCTGCCTTAATTCCTTGTGAAAGGTTCTGGGAAACATGAGCATAAAACAGAGCGTTGAGTACAGTAAAATCAGAATATTGTGACATCTCTCCTGAGATAAATGACAGGAAAGAGACAGCTGACAACTATGGCCTATTCAGGCAACCTGAATTCTTCCTAGCTTCCTTGTCAAGTGATTCCCCTTGTCTGGTTGCAGGCAGTTCCTCATGGAATGGCTGCTTAGGTTCTTTGTCAGGGCCCCTGCCTTCTGCCTGGACTAGGAAAGCAACTGGTCTGAATCTGACCTGTTGTGAGGGGTGGCAGAGCTTGAGTGGAAGGTGTGGCTTTCCCACCCAGGTAGGAGAAGGAGGTGCATGGCTGAGGTCCTGTATTTAGGTTGATTTCCTTCACATACATGGAAGGCTGTGAAGTCTGGAGCACAGATGTGCACAGATGGCCCACCAGATCCAGCAGAGGCTTCTGAGGCTGGATGGGGGACACTGGTCTGGAAGAGAGAGATGTGTACATGCTTGCAGTTAACTGGATATACTTGCTCTGTGGCACTTAAGTGTTCTGCTGCAGCATGTCTTGCCCTCTGGCTGTGTCACAAGCTGACTGCCCATATGTGCTTTTCCTTTCAGAGACCATTAATGACTTGACTTTTGGTGCTGGGGTCAGTTACATCAGCTTGACGCACACACCCGGTTCAGCTGCAGGCAAGTTAACTTGGTGATTCTAACCTAAGAGGGGAGGGGAAAAAAAATTACCCCCAATGATTAAATCTAGAATTTTTGATAATATGAAAATACATCCTTTGGTTTTTTTGCAGAGAAGAAAGATGATGAGGATGAGCCAAGAGATATTATCTGCTTCACATCACCAGAGAAACCGTAAGTTCAACAGGGGTCTGGAACAGCAGCCCCAGGGAGAGAGACTGGGAAAGTGCTTTAAAATAACTGGTCATTCTGCTTCCTCCTCCTTAGCCCATCCCTGCCACGGGAGTGGAAAGTAGAATCTCCAGCAAAGAAAAGAAGCAGCTACATTGTCCCTCTGAGACGGTCCCAGAGGAGAACTCCAGTGACACCAGAGAACTGATCCTGTCATTGAACTTTTGTACAGAGCCATCATGTTGCCTGCAATCTGTCCCTTTTCCTCTGTAAATATAAATCCTCCTGGACACACGTCCTTCCTTATCTATTCTTACTTGTTTTTTACATGAATCTCTCTGAGAATAAGGGCATACAAAGCCTGCACTAACACACGGGTGTACTCTAAGCTGCTGCTGTTGGCAAAGCTCACTGGAGTGCCAGGAGGCTGCAGCAGAAAGGGAGGTTTGCCCTTCACTTCCAGGATGTATAATTTGTCCATTTGGAAAAGTAAGTGCTTAACATTGCCACAAGCTTAGCAATAAATGCATTTATCCCAGCTTGCAGGGAAGTTGAGTGGCTCAGCTTATTCACTCCATCCCTCATTGTCCCTCCTGGTTATATACTAGATTTGCTTTCGTTTGAACAAAGGTAGAACAGCTTGTCACTGCCACACCCCTAAATGTGGTAATTGCATGCTACATCACCTCTTATTTGTTGTGCAAACTCCTGTGTGTGAGAACAGCCCTCATGTTCTTTTTATATGGAATACTTCCATTCTTGATCTATGTTATTTCCCACTATTAACATTTTATGAAAATAAATGGTTACAGAATTAATTCCACCCACAGCTTCTCCCCCCTTCTTGATCTGACAGATAAATTACTTTTTTCTATAGATTTCTACAGCCTCTAAGTCTCTTCCACTGCTATCTTAGGCACTCAGCTCAATTAATGTTGGCCCCAGCAGCTTTTAAATAGAGACTTAATTGACTGCAAGCAGGATATGAGTAACTCAACTAAAAAGCAAGGTTGGTAAGTCCTCTGCAGAGCTCTGTGCTCTGTGCAGATAACTTGTTTATCATAAATGTGCTGTGTAAATGCTGGAATCTGAGCATTCCTTAGTCTGTCTGATGCCATGGAAGCCCTAATTGAAGTGTGTTTTTTTTCTCTTGTTAACTTCTATTACAGACCTCTTGTCCTAGATTTCATTGCCAGTTGAAAATGGAATCTGTTTTATTCATGCTGGTTTGTCTTATTCAGGCATGAACAGCAGAAATGGAGGAGGCTTTTCTGCACAAGTGGAAACAAAAGAGGCTGAGCCTGCTTTTGCCACAGCCCTTCCAGAGGCACTTACCTCCTGCTCTGGAATCCCATCATTTGGCCTCATTTTCCCTATTCTGTTTGAAGATCAGAGAAACCTTCAAGTGAGGTTAAACTTAAAATCAAAGCCAAAACCTGGGAATGTAGGACATATGGAATGGCTTTGGCTTGAGCCATGGTCAATTTAAGGCCATATCCATTGATTTTGTACCTTCTCTCCTGCTTTAAAATATTATGTAACCCCTTGGAATGGTAAAGCCAAATAGTTTTATTTCCTAATCTGTGCTTTTCTAGTTTTTGTTCTGAAATGAGCCCTGTGAGCATTGATCTGTCTGTTCTAAAGAAGAACCAGGGATAGACAAATGTCCAAGAATAAGCTGATGAGCAGCAGCATCCCTTGGATTTTCTGTCACCTTCAGCCCAATGCAAGTGAGTGCTCTGAGAGAAAAGACTTCCCCTTATTTCACTGAATTGAAAACAGAATCCCCCACTATTATGGCTGTTGAAATAACAAACCCAAAACCAACCAACCCAAAAAAACAACCCTACAAGAATGCTTTATAGCTTGGTATTTATGTAAAACATTCTTGGCAAAGTTAAACATCATACATTAGTACAAACCTGAATATTATTCACAATGATACAAAGGAATTCCATCAAGCAGATCTCGTGAGCTGTACCGGGGGGGATCATCCCCCCCAAAAAACTCCTCTCGTTAGAGATGCCACTGTCACATTTTAGAACTGAAAAGTAAGTCTTGATTTAGAAGCTTGTTGGCTTTTCACATGGTGGTTGCCTTTGGTTCACGGCGAGACTGCAGATTGTGCTCCCACAGTGCCCAGAGCTACCCTGACCAAACCTTGTCTTTCCCTTATTACAGGTATCCTAAAAGCAGCATAGAAAAGGAGTAGTGGTTTTACAGAAGGTGCAAAGGAATGTTCCACTCAGCTACTGGCACAGCCAGGGAACAGTGTGGCTGGGTTGAAGAGCATGTCTGAAAGAGGTAACCATGAGAGACCAGTGGTCATGTCTTGAGTTACACACAGAACACATGGTTATTGCTGCCCCATCCTCAGTTTTTTGTTTGTTTCATTAGGAAAAGAAGAAGTGGGAACACTTGGTTGAGGCAAAACAAATGCAGCAATGGCATGTCCAGCGAGGCCCCTAGGAACCAAAGCAGAGTAAAGCAGAACACTAAAAAAAACCAACACTGACAAGTCCAAATTGTCAAGTATCCAAAATACTGCATACAGGAAAAGTTAAGACAACTCAATTCATATTGGAAATACAAGAAGACTAAATTATGCTACATTGAAAACAAAAAAGATATTCTGAAACCACAGCACAGTCCTAGTGTTGCATCCACATCTTGCAGTCAGATTACCCAGCATATGTTCCTGGGCAACACATCTTTCCAATTATTCTCTCTAAAGCCAAGAAGATTTGTTTGATTTCATTTTGTTTTCTTTCCTTTTTTTTTTTTTTCTTTTCTTTTACCAGCTAGAGAAAAGTTGCAACTGACACTACAAAAAGTGCTTGTGTGTTGAGCTTTTGCTTTCCCAGCTGCAGAAACCAGTTGCCTTGGCTATGCAGGTTAAACCTGTGAAGCTGCCATAGGGGTCACACTGTGTTAATGCTGCAGGGAACTTGCAGAGGGGTAGCAAACATTGAAAGTCACTCTGTCACCTTGTTGGAACTGAATCCAAAAGCCATCCCTGGGTATTTCTTGCAACAACAAAAACAAAATGTTGGTCACTGGCAAGAAAGTGTTTTGTTTTTTTTTATATATATATAAAAAAGTTGATAGCTCCTGCCATGAGTTTACAAAAAAACTATCCCTGAGTGACTCTGTGTCTGGTAAGACCTCTTGTGACAAGGAAATTGCTGAAGCTAGCTTAGGAGGAAAGAGATACTGTTCCACCTGCAGTTTTGTGTTACACTTTGCAATAATACTGATATGCTCTGACAGTGCCACACTGCAGCAATAGTTGAGCTCTTCTCTATAGCTTAAGAAGTAAAAAAATAGCTCCCTGACTTCAACACTGCTGGCATCACCTATTTACACCTGAAATAGAAATGTTACCTTTTCTGAAGTAATCAAAATATATCTTTGCAAAAAACTTTAGAACGTGGGATTTTACAAAATGAACTGGAGAAGGTAAAAAAGCTTGAAGATGCCCTCAGTACCTTTTATGGCAACCCTAGCCCGTGGAAGTATTTGGCTTTAATTTTCCTGGAAGGGATGTCTTAGCTCTAGGTTCTCTGCCTCCTCTCTAAGCCTCTTTAGAACAGCAGAAGACACAAGAGGCCAGGCTGCTCTGTGCAGATTAGGCTGAGGGGTTCCCTGGGTGCAGTGAGTTTTCTGCCAAGCAGTGAAGAGGAGCAATCCTTCTGGCCTGACACTGCCCATGGCTCGTGTTAACTGGAGGAACCAGATTGCAGTAAGTTTACAAAAGGGCTGAGAACATTAGTTGTGTTTACTGGGTGGGGATTTGTCCCTCTGGGCTACTCAGACACCCTGTTCTGCACCTGAGCAGTCAGAGTCGAAAGCACAAGACAATCTCCAATGTGTAGAAGTCACCAGCCAGGCCTAGGCAACAAGCTGCTGAGAGGAAGACTCCCCCTTACATGGGTAAAAATCTTATTCTGTAAAGTCCATCTACTGCTGGATCAGCACCTCTTTTGTCTACTAGTCATCTGTACTAGTAATGGCTACTACACGTTTACCTAACGCTGTTCCCCTGGTTGGTTTGCACATTGTGCCTGTGTCCCTGCAGCACAAATAGAAGGCAATTCCACAAACTTCCACAGCCCAGTCTCTTGGGAAGTATTAAAAAGCTTCCTTAGTCCCAGGACAGGTTTAGGTGATCCTGTTGGTATGTCCAGAGGCAGGGGAGACGCAAGTTGGGCAGTGAGGAGTTACTTGAAACTTTGGCAAAGAAAAAAAGAGATACAGATAGCTAGCTATCAAGTTCTTGTGTGTTCCAAACTCTTCCAAGCGCACTTAATTCATCTTTTTTTTTGCTCTCACTTTTGAGTTCCTGGAGGAGGTATTTTCACACTTGCTTTTGCTGGTTTGCAATTTTCTCTCCACGTCTTAGATGACGAACGAGGACTTGTGTCTGAAGTCGCCCTGCAACGAAACAGCCCTGGCTGTAGGAAGGACCTAGTGGCTTTCCCAGGCACCTCTTTGTTCCTGCTGCCCATGGAAGGTAGGTCCAACCTGTCTAACTTCTAGCATTCTAGGTAGCACCCTCTTCCAGTTGGAAAAGAGAGGGAGACTGGTCATACTGGCCAGGTCCTCCTTCTCCTACTGTCCTCTCTCTCACCAAGGCATGACAGGGGACTTTCTCATTCCCTCTTCAGTATCTCTAATAGGGCCAGGCTTTTTCTGATCTTCAGCTTAGTGATCTATTCAAATCCCAAAATGCAAATTCTCTTGTAAAAGCATCATGGCCTGCCCACTTAATCCAATGAAACTCATCCTAAGGGGGTCAGGCCACAAGAGAACTGAGACAGCAGAGCTGCATTTGATACCTCCTGGCATCAGTCACTTAAGGCAACTTAAACTGCTCATCATTTCTAAGGAAATGACTCAGCCTTTACCCTTCTGTTCTCTCTCTGTTCTACATCCTTCCCTCTGAGTGGTACCCACTCTAAGAAAGGTCCCAAAAAAGCCCTCAGCCCACCCTCAGCAGAGAGGTGGGAAATGCAGATCATTTGTTACCTCATCATCTGTCCGGATATAATTAACGCCATCAGGTTTTGCTGGAGTCTTGTAGCTGAAATAAAGGAAAAGACCTCATTTCTGGGACAAGAAGACTGCAGGTTTTTTTGGAGGGGAAGTGCTGAGAAAGATGGAAATGAGAGAGAGCTGCTGAAAGAAAAGAAAGGAGGGAGAAGCCCA